GGCTGATCTAAGTCAGGGCAAGGCTAACTCACAGATTGAACCCTGAAACAACCTCTGGGCTGAACTAAGTCAGGACAGACTCAAAGATCGGCCCCTTGAAGCAATCACTGGGCTCATCTAAGTCAAGGCATGGCTAACTCCCAAATGGAATCGCATTTTGGAGTGTTAGGCTTTTGAGAGAGAAAACTAACTGGGGGGAAAAAGAAAAAAACGAAAAAAGCACTCGAATCAAGGGAGAGTCCTAACAAACTCTACTCGCATGTGATGCCAGGTGTCCAGGAATTAAACCTGAGACCCCAGAGGTAAGAGGAGAGGTGTACACTAAATCTACGCCGTATTCCGAGTCGTTATTTCGTGCTTTCATTCAACTTGTGCTCTACAGCAGTTTTCTTACATACCTCTTGCTTCGTTGGTAAAGCAACCACACACGCCACAATCAAGAAATACAGGACAATTCTTAAAGCCATCTTTATCAAACTTTGTGCTTGACTCCTAGTGAATATCACTCATCAATCGTAAGTGAACGTATCTTGTTCATGTTAGGGCATTTTATAATAGAGTAGATAAATACAGCTTAATTCCTGAAATGATAAAACCATTGGTTCAAAGAGTAACCGCTAAAAGATCTTACATTAAGGTTTGTTTGCTCAGTTGTTTTCAGTCGTTTCAGTTTTTGAGGTTTTGTTTAGTTAATAAAGTAAGTTCAATTACTTCGATTAGTGTATTTGTTCTCTATTATCTGGAATTTGCAGGAGTGTGAAGACTTCCCATGAAATTATTTTCAACGCGTGCATGGTTCACACACATATGTATCAATTGAAATCTATTTTGTATTTTTTGTTTTTCTGATATCAAATTTAATTTTTAAGTTTCCACGTTTACGTTAAGTTGCAATTGCTTGAACATGTTCTCGGTTGCAACAAACAGGAATCAGAAGAGGCAATAAAATAAACTTGAACTATGTCAAATTGATTATTTTCTAAATTCAGTCCATAGAGCGCAAACAATATATCTGTGAAACACTAAATTGTTCAAAATAGTGCTAGTTAAACAAAAGAAAACAATAGAATTAGCATAAAATAAAGTAAGTTAGTATCACTAATATTTCACGGATATATTGTTTGCACTCTATTGAACTCTGTGTTTCTTCTTCTAAGAGCCTAAAATGGCAGCGACTAAGATACGACTGCCTATGTGTTTTAATTGACCGTTTTTTATCTTGGGCGTAATGTTTTCCCATTTCAGACTACATGTCATTCTCGGAGAATAAGATTCTTTGTTTGAGTTGTATCCATGTTCATGTGTCTTCTCATGTGCAACCGTTAAACAAAGAAATGATAATCTAAACTTAAGAATGATCCCAAGGTCAATGATCCACTCTTTTCCAAGTTTATATTTTTAAAATGTAACAATCTACAGGAACTATTGCAAAAGTTTTTTTACTTGATTGATAAATTTAGGACCATACTTCTAGACATCTAGTGCTGAACCGTCGTATGGCAGCGCGAAGCATTTACGGCTACGCCTGAGATTTCGACCCCGACACCGCTATCCGTGGATTTACAGACTGATCAGGAAGCTCGGCCGAATCCTAAGGGAGAGGTTAGTCGTTAGTCGTTAGATGATTAACCCCTTGCTATGATCAGCAAACTCAAATTCTTGTGTATGACGGTAATGAGTTTACACGCATGCTCGCTCCTTTCCATGTGGGATGTGTTTTGAATAGTGAAAACAATAAAATCATCAGGAAAAATCTACTGATTAGATTTGGCAAAAGTATCTTATGCAGCCGCTATAAGTGTCGTCACGTAACGCTCACTCCCCTATTAAGTAGCTTATTCGGGGAGTGATCGTTGCGTGATGACAGTATTAGCGGCTGCGATGGAGACTTATTTGGCAAATGATAAAATCAAATTGTGGTCAGAAAAAATATTACGTACATACTTATCGAGCCACCTTAAAACTAGCTTGCAATCTCAGTTAAGAAGATTTTAACTCTTGAGTATTGCTATGAATTGATATTTTATCAATATTTTATTAATTTATATTTACTGTTAATCAAAAAAATTAAAGTAAACCATCGTCTTATAAATAACAAGTCATTTTAGATGTGTGAACAGAAAATCTTTGAAATACCACATACTCAAAAAGGTTTGATAGTTTAAAGCCACAGTATACTGAAATATTAATCAAACTTCATGTTAAATAAAAACGATGCTGTACGGCATATCAACCTACTGAACAAAGCTCGATTCTGGTGTGTCCATGGTACGTCACTAGCCGCCATATTTGGTTGATCGAACTAAAGATTTGGAATGATGGGAAGGTTTCTTTTTGTTATATATCCCCAACATGGTGGCCATGTCTTTTGTCCTTGTGCATGTGACGTCATAGCTGCCATGTTGGTTGACTTGAACAAAGGATTTGGTCTTGGTTTCATTTGTTATGTCAACCAACATGGCGGCCATGTCTATTGTACTTGTGCATGTGACGTCATAGCCGCCATGATGGTTCACTTGAACAAAAGATTTGATTGTTTGATATAAACCATCATGGCGGCCATCAATTTTATAGGCAGGGATGCATACCAAAAACAAAAACAAAAAAAAAAAAAGAAAGAAATATTTCTAGCGCCAAGGAGTTAACTTAACCGAATACTTGTTTGATGATCTTTTCACGGTGTATAATTTACCCTTTCATCATTACTGTTTCATTAGAAACACCGACGCAGCTTACACTAGTTTTTAGCTAGTTATCTCTTCAGAATACTTGTTTACAAAATTTAGCCAGTAGAGAGATATCGTGGTATCGAGATAGATTCAGTTAATAAGTGGACATTATATTTGGGGCTCGCGCGCCAGATTTACGAAATTGAGAAATAAAAGCCAACGAAGGGTCAGAAGATGTTTATGATTTTCAATCAGCAATCACTTTGATGTTAAATAAGTTATGGTTATAATTATTGATACATTTTCGTCAGCTTAGCATGTATCTTTATCATATCCAGCGTAATGACTGTTGTACTTGGACCTGCGGAAACACTTTACGGCCTGTGAGTCACATTGACACAAAGCATAACGGCATTTGCCAAAGAACCAGTAGTACGACGGAGGCTCTATAAACAATCAATGCATGAACTAAATCAGCACGTAAATGATTATGATTTATGAATTTATATAGAACTTTTTCATGTGAATATGATCAAAGGCGCTTTGCAGTGAGTTGTGAATGAGAGGTGGTTAGTATGAGGTGTGGATTCTGAGGATGGCCACTGCTCGGTCACTGACAGGTTTTCTTTTACGCCCCTCCGATAATGACACGGGAACGCGAAATGAGAAAAGCATAGGATCAACTTTGCTTGTTTCTCTTCCTCAGGAAGAACGGAAAGGACGGAGCGAGTAAGAGAAAATATAAGAGAGGAGCTTGAGACCCCCCCCCCCCCCCCCC